GTTATTATATTTTTACTAGTAATAGTACTATGAATACATATGGAGTTATGTATGAAAACGATTTTAATGTATTTCGACATAGAAAAAACTTATTATTAGAAGATAATACCAACGGTTGTAACGGTCAATTTAAAATTTCAATTCAACTTCATACAAATACTACATATGTATTTCTTGTAACAACATATCATCCAAATGTAACTGGAAACTATTCATTGCTTGTCTTTGGACCAAATAATATCACTCTAAACCCGATCAGTGAGTTTGTCAGGTTTTGTCAAGCACGATCTAATTTTGAGATAGAAATTTGGACACATTTTCACCACACCTGTAGACATCAAACATTGCCATAGACTCAATAAGAAATCAGCATTGGTAACTAGTTCACATCTTAATCCTAGAAGGAATGCACAAAGGTCTCATGAATCTGTAGTCGGATCGAAAGTTATATTGAAAAAGAAAAAGTAGCTTATATACTAGATTCAAATTTCCACTAGAACTTTCAGATTGAATCGATATACTGTTTCCGTGTTTTTGACTCATAGGTGTTATGTATGAAACTCGTTGACGAGTGTATGTCTAAACATGTGTTCATTTACAATCATTACTCATGATTTTTTTCGCCACCTACGAATATTTTTTCAATAAAAAAATAAAATTAGACTTTTATCATATTCGAACGGACTAAATTGTTTTCGACTATTTTCAAGATAATTTAACTATTTTTTCCGAAAAACTACTAGAACGAACTGGTAATTAAATCGAGAATATGATTACAATAGTCAGAAATATTGATATAGCTATATGAGCTAACTTCTATTCTTCTTATTTACTTCAAGATCAACAATAATCGACAGATAACAGACAAATTTTTTCTAGTTAATTTTCATAATTTGTTTTGAAATATATTTTGTCGTAAAAAGATCTTAAAATTCTTAGTTATCATATGTTTTTCGTTTTGATCTATTTAAAATTAATCATTGATATATTCTATTATGTTAAGATAATCTTCCACAAGTTTTTCAAAATGAATACTCATCAGCATTAATTACAACTAGTCGAGAATATGGCCGAGAAAAATGTCAATTAGCAAATTATTATTATGAAGATATAGAAATGAATGTGATGATATCTGGTTCATATACTATTACAAGTCATAGTAATATTAACACATTTGGATATCTCTATAAAGATCGTTTTAATCCATTAAAACCTCTTGAAAATAGTATCACTCGAAATGATGAAAATTGTGATAATAGTCAATTTCAAATTGTTTTCGATCTTTATGCCAATTCAACATACGTATTAGTAGTAACAACATATTTTCCAAATATAACAGGAGAATTTTTCATCTCTGCATCTGGTCCAAAGAAGATCAATTTCAATCCCATTGGTATGTATTTACATTTTAACAATAATTCGGAACAAAGACATAAGGTACTAGGTGTCCCGAACACCTGGTGATTTGTCCAGGTGTTCCGAATTGACTTTTTTTTACCGGGAGTCCGTAAAACATATTAGTCAGGAAATCATAATTTTAAAATATACACGGAAATCGGAACGAAATGCTCCACAATATGTAAAATATTGTCACGAAATCGGGTGACGGTGTGGATGTTCATGTGTAGTATGAGCGAAGAATAACTTATACACCCACACCCACCCACACCCTCAATATATCAATAAATAAATATGTTGTTATATAGATATTCAAACAATTTATACATCAATATTAACAAAAGATACTCAAACATATTCTCGAGTTTGTGGTCGAACACAATATTATTATGAAACAATAGAAATCAATGTAGAAAATTCCAGTATCTATAGATTTGATAGTAATAGTAGTATTATTATATATGGTTATATTTATGAAAATAATTTTAATCCATTTAATCCAACTGATAATTTAGTTACACGAAGTAATTATAGTTGTGGTGGATATGAATTTCAATTTACAGCTTATCTTCATTCTAATATAACATATATATTAGTTATTACAACATTTCATTCAAATGTTCAAGGACCATTCTCATTAATTATCTATGGCTCAAATAATATTACTCTCAATCGTACTAGTAAGTAAATATTTATATTATCAACAAAGTTTAAAGAAATAATTTGATTTTAGTTAATAATCATGATGAGTGTATTGTTGGAGATCGATGTAATTCTTATACAAAAGGTATTGGTTTAACTTTAGATGATATTTTACGTAATGAAATACGACGTAATACAACAATAAATAATCAATCGTTTTTAATAAAAATCAGCATTGCTCTTACGATAATTATATTTGTTGGAGGTTTAATAAATAGTATTCTTTCTTTAATAACATTTCAAAATTTAGAATTACGAAAAGTTGGTTGTGGAATTTATCTTTTATCATCATCAATAACTTCTCTTCTGACAATATCAATGCTAACAATTAAATTTTGGTTTGTTATTCTAACACAAATAAATCTATCTGTTAATAAATCAATTCTTCAAATTGGTTGTATATCTATTGAATCGCTTCTTAAAGTTTTTGTATATGCAGATACTTGGTTAAATGCTTGCGTAGCTGTTGAACGAGCTGTTAATGTATCTCAAGGAGTTAGATTTGATAAAAATAAAAGTAAACGTATCGCTCGTCGGATAAGTATAATATTACCATTATTCGTTATGATTACACTTATTCATGAACCCATACATCGTCATTTATTAGAATATACAACTGAAAAATATACATCACAACAATATGATTATTTAACAAATGAAACAGATCAACATGAAATAAATGATACAGATAAATACGAAATGGAATATCATGTTTTATGTGTGATTAATTATTCTCGCTCTGTGCAAGATTATAATACAGCTATTCTATTTTTTCATCTTCTAACTCCATTTATTGCTAATCTTATTTCAGCTTTTTATATTGTTTTTGGTACTGCAAGACAAAGATCGATAACTCGAACTAAACAAACTTATATAAGGCATATACTTGAACAAATAATTGAACATAAACAATTAATAATTAGTCCTCTGATTTTACTTATACTTTCAATGCCTCGATTAATTATTTCATTAATATCTGGATGTGTCGATGTTTCCAATAATCCATGGTTATATCTTTCTGGTTATTTTATTTCCTTTACTCCATCAATGCTTATCTTTGTTGTATTTGTTTTTCCTTCAAAATTATACATGAAAACATTTAAAGACTCGCTTCAGAAATGGAAACGATCGATCTATTCGTAATAAATTTCTTTATTTATCATGATTACTTTTCGAAAGTGTTGTTAACTTGAGAATGCAAGCTAGAACTTAATATTTTAAAAATAGATAAATGTTTATGAGTGTGAGTTATTCTTTGTTTTTTTTTAAATTTTTCTTTGCTTCTTGTGCTTCTTTGTCTGAGAATATTAATTAATTTTGCAATTTTGTCTAATTTTCTTTTCATTGGCATACTTAAATGGTAGATTTCTTATTCACAAAGTTGACTTTACCAAACTGTCTGTATATATTTATAACATGTACGTTATGATCTAATCCGTTTTCTTTGTATGTTCTGTCTATCTTATCCTCCATCATTTCCTTTTCTACTTTCTTGTATCATACTCTTTTTTTAAACTTATAAACTGTTAGGACCCAGTAAGTCATCAGTTATCTGCTAATAAAAAAAAAGTTATTGTTTGCTTATCATCATATCTTCACTTATATTCTTGATAGTGTTCTATTTCAAATTAAAACCAAATTACTTTGTTTTTCTATCCATGCTGAAGAGACAATATTATCCGAGAGTGACTATAATATTCAGTGTTAATCTAGAACCTGTGTGTATCATTGCGTTCCTCATTCATAATAATGCCCACACTCTCGATGTAAGTAATCGATAAAATGTTTAAAACTAGTTTAGTTTGTTCTCTCTATTAAAATATTATAATTCTATCAATCAACTTGCCAGCAATAGTTACGAGTGTGTGGGTGCGGGTGGATGTATCGCAGATGGCATTCACCGACACCCACACCATCAATCCTAAACACTTCAATAGTTCTGTTAGATCCTATTTCACAGAAGAAAATACATATATATTTTAAAAACATGTGAATGTATTTGAATTATAAGAACACATTCATAGAATGCTTTTTTTTTCAATGAATAATAAAAATAAGATGTATAATTATTTTTAGCCGACTTATTTTATCTCTTATTTTTCTAGATAATTCAATCTCTAAAAGAAATATGCCGATGGCTGATAAGTACTGTACACAGCCAAATTTATAGATTATGATAGCTTTATTCATTCACATCCTCTCCAGATGGTCCTAATTTCCGTGACAAGCTCTACTCCACACCCACCTAGTGATAGTAGATACCCTTGAATTTGACCAAAAAGTATTGAAAAAACACGTATAATAATAATTGATGTCTTGTTGATTATGAACAACATTCATAATAATAAACATTCCTGACATGTGGAATACTTGAGAGATTTATATATTTGGCATTACAAACTAATGTCTACAAAGGCTTTATTAAGAGTGAGAAAAATGTAGTTTATAAATATTCAAGAAGGATAAGGAAGCAATTGATCATTGTTCGTTATCGCAGACATTTAATGACTGAAGCTAACACGCGCCCATTCCTGTGGAAAGAAAATGAAAAGCATGATTTTATAGCACTTTTCTTTTTCTCATTCTTATAATAGACTTGTTCTATTTATTTGATCTACATTGCAGTCGGCATCTATTTAAGTGCTAAGTAGAAATATATAAATGCAACATAAAAAAATTACATGCTTTCTAAGTAAAAAAAGATTTTTTTGCTAAGTAGTCTATTTAAATTTTAAGTGAAAAAAGTCAGGTTTTCATGAAAAATAATATGAATTGATAAGTATATATATATATATAACTTTTGCTAAGTGAAAAATTCAGTTTGAATAGTTAACTGATTAACAAAGCTTGCGTTGTTTTTCATTGTCGTCCTTGCTTTCTTTTGGTTTATACAGTGAATAATGTCTTCGTCCGACAACAGTTCAGACAATAATGATGATTTGTTCATTGATTTCGAAGAAGTATCTATTCCACGTTCAATTCGTTTTTGGATTATGCTTTTGTTCAACATCTCATCAATAATTTGTAGTTTTTGTATACTTATTCATATAATTTATAATCGAGCTCAACGATATGCATTGCATAATCATGCTATTCTTCTTGTATTAATCATGGCCTTACCTATTCAGTTGATAGATATTAATTTTTATCTTGTATTCTATCATTATGGTTCTATTCAACCATCGAAACCGTTTATGTGTCTGTTATGGTGGCTCACTGATTATGGTTGTTATAGTGGATGCACTATTCTGATAGCTTGGTTAGCCATCGAACGATACATTTTGATATTTCACGATCGATGGGTTTCAAATCGAAGAGGACGATTTCTTTTTCATTATTTACCTTCGATTAGTATAGTGGCGTATATCGTTGTGTTCTATATCATTTCTATTTTATTTCCACCTTGTGAAAATGATTATATCTATACGTTGCCAGCGTGTGGTGCTGCACCATGTTACCAATTATATGGTGTTCTGGCTATATGGGACGGTTTTGTTAATAATACCACACCAACTATCTTAGAGAGCATTGTAAATATCGGTCTTATTTTACGTGTTCAATGGCAAAAACGACGACTTCGTCAATCTAATCAATGGCGTAAACAACGGTGAATGATTATTCAATTATGCTTAATTTCAGGCCTTAATATGTGTTTAAATCTCCCATTAATAACATTACTTTTAGTACATTTCTTTGGCCTACCACCGGAATATGGTGCCCAACCCCAACTTTATTTCTTGTTTCTTGGCTACTTCGTTTTTTTTCTCTTTCCATTCGCATCGTTATGTCAGTTTCCAGATTTGCGTAAAAACCTTACAAGGAAAATAGTTGATATACTTCCACGACAACAACCGCATACAGCTACTGTTGCAACTATAGCGAGAGCTATTCCAACGAATAGATTGGCTTGATCTAATTTAACAATTTGATTTCATAAAGATGTATTTGTTCTACTTTGTGAAAATGAACAGTTTTTTGATGTAGCAAATTTTAAAAAAAAGACGAAGAAAGTGTGATATGTTTTGAATTATTGAAATCAGTTCATGTCATCGTTCACTTTTGTGCGTTCTTCTCTATGTTTTGATTTTACTCTCACGTGTTGTCTCGTTCGTATTTTTTATTTTGACACATTTAAATATAACCATATCCAACATACCTTTATATAGTTGATGATTTTTTTCAATAAATCGAATAAGTGTAATAGTTATATTCTTCTATAGGTACTATCCATCGTGAGGGTGTGGGTGTGAGTGTGCTTCAAAGATAATTTCAAGCTACTTACGACGATCGTTTCGAACCTTGCTTAAGAGTTCACCATTACGTAAATTCTGCACAACATTATTTTTATTTTATTTTTCCTTATTTTTCTAAAATACGATCTAATTCATGATGACCGATTGTTTTTACCAGTAATCTATAGCTTTCCTCTGTATCCTATCTGACAGTATTTTTCCACGAATATATATGCTGTTGTTTTGCAATGTTTTCATTCAAAAGATATTTCGTCCTCATTATTAACGTAAATTTTACAAAACATAAATGAAATTAATCGATTTAGTTTAGTCTTTTCTAGACAAAGAATTGCCATGCCTATATAATAAAATCATAAAAAGTGAATCAATCAATTATTACTTATCTACTATATAAAACAAGAAGCTGTTAAGGCAATCTCTAGCGAGATTGAAATGTAAGACACGACCTAACTCTTGTTTCTAACTTCAAGAAGATACTTTATTCGTATCATTATGAAATGGTTTCCATCTAGCCTTGTGGCATAAACGTATAGAAAAATTAGCATTTTAACAGTTGTTACAAAATTCAAGAGACAAATCGCTTAATATAAATGAAGTTACTAACGTATCTATCTTTCTTAAATAATATGAGTTCAATAGGCATGTTTACGATGCAATATAGATCATATACGGGGTGTAGTGAGTGCAAATTTCTGCCCCTACACACTTCTTTTAGATCGTATTTCATAAAGTGTACTTGTTGGCATTAAAATACCTTTACAAATGCTATATAAGATATGTATGTGAACATTATATTTATCAATAAATATTTGAAATTTTGCAATTAATATATGTATTACAATCGTGAACGATGAAGTCTTAATATAGATCACGATCCCGCATGATCACACAAAACACTGCCTGGATGTGGGTGTATCATATCTATCCCACTTGCAATCTCACCATCACCCATTCGGAAGATTATGATTGTATATACGCTAGATGTGAGAACCTAATCTATCCTTCAATTTGAGTTCGCTTAACGTCAATTAGTTGATCTAAAATATACAAAATTCTAAATAGATGAATTTTATATTTACAAAAAATCGTGTTATTATTTCAAACAAGAATAATTATCTATTAATTTGTTCGACAAAAAAAATCATATCATATAGTAGTTTTTTCTCTAGTTATAATGATGTTGATATTTAACCGAATGCAACAGTTACATGTATAATAAATCAAAAGCAAATTGTAACGAGTGTTTGATCTGTAGCTGTGTACGCTCACGTGGCTGACATCATAAAATTCTGACGCTGTGTTTACAACGTTTGATTCTTGTTTTGCGTTGCTTTTTTTATTCCATTCTTTCATATTTTACGACTACTCTGACGTCTGAAGTGAGATAAAATATGAGAGAAAGCGCAAAAGTTTGCATACGGTTGAAAAAGTTAAACAATAAATATATTACTGGGAAAAAGTAAGCATCTCTACTGAAGATATGCGTCGTGCACGGTCTCCTTCGCTGTTGGACATCTCATCCACATCAGCAAAACAACCGTGAGTTATAATCTTCGATTATCGCTTGTTTCTCTTCAAAATATAACGATCATTTTAGTAAGATGCAAGACATTCAACAAGAAGTTGTGTCACTTCCTCGATCTTATCAAGTATGATATTTGTTTTTTTGGATAAGATCGATATTATTTAAAATCTGTCGTAGACTGAATTAATGGAACAAGCTAAATTAGAAAATTTGGTTATATGTTTGCCTACTGGTAGTGGAAAAACTTATATTGCTGTAATGCTTATCAAAGAAATGGCACATGAGACTCGTAGAAGTATTGACGATGGTGGAAAACGAACAATATTTCTTGTTAAAACAGGTTGATGTTTCTACTTTAAATTCTTTATTCATTAGAATAGTTTACTTTAATTATAGTTGCACTTGTTCAACAACAAAGTGAATATATTCGTATTCATACAGATTTAAAGGTTGGTAAATATTATGGCGAATTAAAAGTCGATCTATGGGATAAGGAACGTTGGATCAATGAATTCGAGCAACATCAAGTACTAGTTTTTACAGCTAAAGTCTTCCTCGATCTGGTCGATCATAATTATTTCCGTACGCTTTTGATTTATTATGTAAAATTAACGATGTTCTAATGTATTTTAGCATTGTATAAAGTCAATTTGTTAATTTTCGATGAATGTCATCACTCAACAGGTGAGAATTGTTATGCATCATTGATGAGAAGACATTACGATACATGTCATGATCAACCACGTATACTTGGTCTTACAGCATCAATTAGCGCTAAAAAACTTAAACTTTCGCAATTGGAGACAACTGCAAAACAAATTGAAGAAACTTATAGGTAAAGTTACACAACAAGGAAATCTACAGAATCTTTCATTAATTATTTACATTTATTTATTTTTTCAAAGAGCTCGTCTTGCGAGTGGTTCAGATCGAGAAGAAAGTGCTCGATGTGGTACATCGGCTTGTGTCGAACACATACGTTGTTTCAGTTACAAGGAATATATCAAGACATCTTATGAGAGTATTACAATTGCTTTTGATGTAAGATTTCTTTTTATGGTATTGTGTCTACTAAGGAAATTCTGTTTTTAGACAATTCAATCGATTTTGCTGGATCTAGAGCCTTATGTGAAAGCTAAAAAAGCAGAGCGTGAACGAATTGCACATGATCTGAGTGAAGTAATGCTCACTGAAGATTATCTTGGCGAGAATGTCACTCAATACAATAATCTTTCAGTAGATTATACAATTTTTCTTCAATCAGAATATGTGAATATACCTCGACTTAAACGTTACCTTGAACAATTAATTCATGTTGGATATGAACTTGGTCTCTACGGACTTTTTTTAGCAACTAAAAGCCTTCAGAAAGCTTTGAAATCATCCCAAGCACTCGATCTAATTTCAGATGCACAAGGAAAACAACTGTTCGATGATTCTCTACAACGCATTGATTGTCTAGTTGATGATATTCTTCAAGGTTTGATCGATATCAATCAAGGCAATGATGGTGTATTATTTAGTTCTAAAGTACTCAACTTATTTCAGCGTATTAATACTGATGTGGATAAAAATAGTCTTGTTCGATGTATTGTATTTGTTGAACGTATCTACACAGCAACGGTATTAACACAAATTTTGATCGGTCTCATGAATAAAATGTTACCACTGAATAATAATCATTTCAAAATAAAATATCTTACTGGGCCTAGAGCAAACATAGGTGATGCAAAGATGACAGCAAAATATTTGGTTCGAAAAAAATTCTTTTTGTTTCTTTATAAAAAAAATACAATTATCAAATTTATTTCAGCAACAAGTGATCAAAGAATTTCGTACTGGTCAAGTAAATGTCTTAGTAGCTACAGCTGTAGTTGAAGAAGGTTTGGATATTCCAAAATGTAATCTTGTATTTCGCTTCAATAAACCACCGAATTTTTCTTCATACATGCAATCGAAAGGTCGTGCTCGTGCTAAACAAAATGCATCGTATGTACTTCTTATCGATGAATCAGATGAACAAAAAGATATAACAGATTATGGAACTTATGAAGATATTGAAAAGGTCAATTTTCTACTTTTTGTTTCTCGCCTATATATATATATATATCAAATTATTTTCTATTGATTATTGTAGAAGATTCGAGACGGATTTTCCATTGATAATGATGATGATTTTAATACAGATGATTCAAATCAATTAGAGCCATATCGAACAGAAAATGGTGCTGTTATCAGTGCAGTACGTGCCGCACAGATTATCTTCGAGTAAGCGATAGATATGAATATTACGAAATTGTGTCGTTTTTCATTCAAGATATTGTGCAGTTCTTGGCAATGGTCGAATATGTCCACCTCGAATACTCTTTTCTAAAACTGCTCGTGATACATTTACGAGCATTCTTTCAATGCCAGCAAATTGTCCAGTACTGGCTGATATTATCGTAAGTTCGGCTTGATCTTTGATACATCTCAAAATATTCTTAATTTTATCTTACTGTTTAGTGTGAAAATAGGAAGAAAAAGTTGGCTAAATTTCAGTGTTGCTTAAAGATGGTTGAATTACTTCATCAACAAGGTACGATGTACATAGTTTATTATACAATACATGAAGTAATAATACGATTTTTTTCTCTTAGGAGAACTGAATGATCATTGTTTACCACATCATAGACGATTGTTGGTAATAAATGATATTCCAATCAAAAATCGTCTATTCAAATTATGTGATGAATTATTTGAAAAGAAAAATGATAGTACAATGGAAAAATTTCCGAAACAAGTCAGTTCCATTTATCAGAAACGTTAAAATTGATTAAAATATATATTCTTATATATTAAGATCGCTTCGTTTCCACCTTCGACTACTGATTCATCAAATATTTGGTATCTCTATCGAATCAGTATACGGTCAGAAAAAGATAAATTTGGTTTTATTGTACCAACTAAATTAATCGAAGTAAATACATCTTTTGAATTAATTTCTTTTGATTTATATGTATTTTGAGTTGGCAAATTTTAATCTATATGCTGCTTCAAATGAAATACTCACCGTTGATGTTGCCTATGTTAAAACCATTGATTACGCTAAACACCGACATGAACTTGAACGTTTCTGTCGTTTCCTATTTGAGAATGTTTTGGACGAAATAACACATAGTTCAGATTCCATTCTCAAGTTTGATATTGAACATTCATCATTTAAATGCCTTCCATGTTTACTTAAAGGTGAGTAAAAACAAAATCATAATATCGAATGTTTTTATCAATGTAACTTGTTGCTAGATACTGATGAAATTGATGACGAACGAATGCTATCAATCTGTAATCGATTGAATAAACCAGTCGAAGATTATTCTCAGTTGTCTGACGATGAACTTTATACTGCTCAGCATTTATCTCAAAAATTATTCTACATGAAGATGCCTAATGGTTGTTCATCGAAACGAACTTCTGATCCATGGGAACACAAGAAAAAAATCGAAACGATCAAGACCTATGCCGATTATTTTCAAGAGAAAGTGCCTGATGTGAATATTCATCGAGATGCGTTAATGGTAGAAGTGAAAGGTATAAGTAAACCACGAATCAATTATCTCTATTCATCACCATCGGACAAAAAAAACGATTCAACTTCAACATCATCTAATCAACCATCTGTTTACTATCCGATTGAACTTCTTCATTATGCTCCATTTAATATAGCTGATATGCAATTCTTTCATAAGTTACCTAGCATACTTGTGCGTATTACTCAATTGTATTATATCGAACAATTGCGAACATTATTTGCTACTCATGTGAAGAACTATTCAGTAAAACAAAAATGCTCATATTCTCTCTCTATATATTGATTCAATATATTTTGTTTTTGTAGTTGATGGATGTGTCATTAATGCGAACATCAGTCAGCTTTACCGATTGTCTCAAAACCATGAATTCAACATCAATGGAGTGTCTTCCGATAGTGAGTTTCATATATATATCCTATGTTTAATAAAAAGGAAATTATTTGTTTTCTCATTTTTAGCTTCCACAAACTATACTTCCATTGATTCCACTTACTTATGATTCATCGATCGCCATGAATCAACCTATGCCTGACATTCTCTTTCAAGCAATAGCACGACGTTCATGTGGTGAACAAGTAGACCATGAAAATTTAGAAATACTTGGTGATTGCTTTTTGAAATTAGCTGTTTCGATGTCATTATACATTAAGTATCCATCAGCTGGTGCTGGAGTATTAACAAACAAAAAGAAAATAGAAATTTCAAACGAAAATCTCTATCGATTAACTATTCAAAACAAATTGAAAGCATATTTGAATGTTAAGAAAATTGCCTTTCGAGGTACAGAAGCTAATTGGTTACCGCCAGGATATACAGTCGATAAGACGAAACCCGTAACTCATGAACAGTATACACATCAGAATGCAAAGCGAAAGGCTTTCAGTGACATGATCGAAGCATTTATCGGTACATTTCTTATCTCAAGTGATTATACAACAACGTTGAAGTTTATGCATTGGCTTGGACTAGATGTTATTCCATTAGATGGTCAAGGTAATCTAATAAAACTACCATCAATTTTTCGTGCAAGTACAGTGACTATGACTAATGATCAAATGGATCGAATTATCAATCAATTTTTTACTGATCGAGCATTTGCTGATATTGAAACAAAAATAAATTATACATTTCAGAATAAAGCTTATCTTATTGCAGCATTTACTCATCCATCGAACTTTGCCAATCGTGCAACCGATTGTTATGAACGGTATAAACAATTCATATTATTAGGATTATTTTAATTAGTTAATTTTTCGTAGACTAGAATTTCTTGGCGATGCAATACTAGATTTTTTGGTTACACGTCATATATTTGTCAATTACAGCCAGAAGATCACACCTGGTAAGTAGTAATGTTTTTCGTTTCTAATGAAAGAAACGCGTTTTTATTTTGTCAGGTCGAGTGACAGATATTCGACAAGATCTATCAAATAATGGCCGGCTTGCATATATTCTGGTAGCCTGCGGTCTTCACACAAAGATTCTTCATAATTCAACCACTTTGTTCGGTCATATTACATCGTATGCTGGTGATGAAAATCTCTTTCCAGAAAATCATTCAACTGTGCAATATTTGAGCAAAGTAGATACTAAACATTCATCCAGCTTCACTTTTTTCTGTTTGAATATTCTGATTAGATACAAAAAAAACTGTTTTTTTCTTCTCTTTATTTGCATAGGATCTTGATCAATGGGCTGATACAACAGCTCCTAAAGCTCTAGCTGATGTTTTCGAAGCACTTGTCGGTGCTGTCTTTCTCGACTCGGGTAATTCTCTACAAACCGTTTGGAATGTTTTCGAACCATTACTTCGAAATTATATTGGTATGAATATAGTAAAAACTAAATTATTATTCACATAAATAATTGTCTTTGTAAATGTAGATCGATCGATTATATGTCCTAATTTAAATCCAGTTCGATGGCTTTCAGAAAATGGTGGCAAAGTGACAGAGTAAGTTTAATTTTTTATTGAATATATTACAGCTGTTCTTCATTCTTAGTGAATTTCCTGAGATCACTGATGATGGACCGATGGCGGTGTGTGTTGTTCAAATGTCCAATGGCACAGACTTCGAAGGTCGCGGAACAAATAAGAATAAAGCAAAATTCGACGCATGTCGAAAAGCTATGAAACAGAGTGTCGGTCAACAGACATCATAGTGGCACATTCCTCTTTTTTTGATTTGATGATATTTGACTTTTTACCTTAATCATAACATATTCTATGAAATAAACATAATTCAGAAGTTGCTAAGAAAAACATTTGTCACTGGGCTATATTTACATTAGGGTGTGGATGGGGGCGACTATTAGGGTATCTCTTCCACACTCACAAATGATAATTTAAAAAAATGAGCAAAGAGAAGAAGTTATTCGAAACATTTTCAGTTTATTAAATTAGATGTTCAAAGGTGAATAAAGGATCGAGGTATAAAACATCTAGTGGGAATATAATAAGTATCCAATGAAAAAAAAGGAATAAATGAGATGAGTTTTTTTTCATTTTCCAATACCAGCTGCTAATTCTTCGAACATCATTTGTTGTATAAATTGTTTATATTCTTCTTGTATTTCCTGATTACGTTGTTGGTATTGCTGTTTTTGTTCTAAAACTATTTGTGAAATTTCTGCTAAGGTAAATAATAAAGTTTCGCCTAATTGTGACATAGCAGTCTGTCTTTCATCTTCAGTTGGAAGCACTAACAGTTTAGAAACATTAGCAATTTGAAATACTATATATGCATTACTAATATCATTATATGTTTTTGCCATAATATATAACAAATGAGCATCTTGTTCTATTTCAATTATTTTATCAAGCATTTTTGAAACAAAAAAAGTTCGAGCAGCTGCACTCAATTCACTATTCGTTGATGTCACATTTTTGATAGTATCCATAAGTTCATTAAGTACAGTTTCACGAATAGTTTCAACACGTGTTGTTAATATATTTTGATATCTAATTATTTCACTCCATTGTTGTTGCATCTTACTGAGTTCTTTAGTGGCATTTACTAATATATTCATATTCATCAAGACACTATTGTTGACTGCGTGTGTGTCTGCCATTGCTGCAATAACTTCTTGTAAAAGCAAAGTTAAACTGTCGTACTCTTTTATCATAATGTTGGCTGATTTAGCGATATTTTTAGGAATTTGTTCAATCGTATCTAATGCTATTGGAAGCAATGCTTGAATGGTACGAGGTGGAACTGATTTGAGTAGTTTAAGAATCGTTTTCAAATCTTTTGGTATTTGTTGTGTACTTAATTGTATTCCATCCATATAACTATGTGCACGGATAAATACAGCATAGATTTCATTGGCAATCTGTGCTAAGGTATTACGAAATGAATTCGGATATTTAATATATTGATAAACATGATTGGGGCTGGATGACTTCAATGAAAAATCACGTTTGCTGTTTAATATCATTAGATTACTAATATAATTTACTACAATTGGGCCGGCAACAAGCAGTTCTTCCCAATTTTCTTCAATTACAGGTTGTGCAAGAGTTTGTGTGTCCACATTTAAATCACTCAATGTAGTTGTACTTGACAATGTCAAATCAAAAATTATGAAAACTAAAATAAAATCATCATATTTGTAAATTATATCTCAAAAATCAAACAACTTACAACTGAAATATATAAATTTCATCTTAAAAAGAAAAAACAATTCAGTGATATACGTTAAAATAACTTAAAAATATAGCACATTTTCCACGCTTTTATAAACGCAGCAATAGCATTAGTTTCACGGAATCTTAAAATCAATTTTCGAAGAAAAAAAAACAAATGTTTTTTTCTCTCATATATTCTGTACTCGCGAATAACTGAAATATATTATCTCATTAAATCAATATTGACTTTTATCAAATAACAAATGCAAAATATCGGCAAAAATATGTTTTCAGTTTGTTATTATTTGTGGTACCACAATATTTGTTCGTCATTGATTTTTTTTTAATGGATCTGTATATCGGTAGAGTGTAAGCATAGCTAATATCATTTGTTTTACAATGAGTGTTTTTGGAATTTCAGATCCATAAAAAGTAGCATATAGAATTGATACATTTGATTATCTACAGTGTAAATGGCTCCACCATTGAAAAGAAATACAAATGGATATAGATATGAATATTAATCATGTTAAACTAATTCAAAATATTTGCGTTTGTTTTCCTTGAAAGAATGAATATGTTGAATAAATAACAAGTGTACATCGATAGGTTAACTGAAGTAAAAAAATAATTTGAAATTGCATTGGAAAAATAAAAAAGATATGCACGAATAATACATAATGAATCTTGATATTCGATTTGGGTGTGGGTTTGAATATTAAGTTAATCACCCACATCCTCTATGTTGTAATTTTAACTCTACGTGTTGTCTCGTTCGTATTTTGTTTTAATACATTTGAATATAACCATTTACAACATATCTTAGATAGTTGATGATGTTTTTCAATAAACCGAATAAGTGTAATAGTTATATTCTCCTATAGCTACTATCCGATTAGTATAAAAATGTTGTCGAGCGTAACAATTTCACAAGTGTTTAACACGAAAATTGATAATAATGTTTGTAGAGAGGATGTATATAAAAATACTTCTATCCATACTTATTCTTATACCATCCTGCATACATTCACGCTGACCTATGTATGAAGACCTAAAACGAGCGGTGAGTTTCCGTTTGCAACAGTCCATAAATGATCTGTGTGCTACTTGCATACATTATGCCCATTGAATTCTTAAATTTTATTGAGTTCTGTTGTCTCTCTGGCTCAAATATTACTTTGAGTTCCCGGTGTAGATTGTATACAATATATTTATTATCGCTGGCATATTTAATACGAGAGAAGGATTTCACAAATTTCCTATGATTTTAGAACTCATAGAATTGTCACATTACTGAAAAAAAATCAGATGTATTGCAGAGATGCACAAGAAATCCAAAAGTTGAACGAATATTTGTATTAATTTTATTAGACAAAACATGTGAAGGAAGTAAAGACGTCATTAACTGTTTTTAGTTTTTCTGATATAAACATGGCGATGCATTTTTTTCTATCCACAATAAGTTTACTTCGGTTACCATCTGTTTTCTTTTCAGACACAATCTTTGTTAAATAATATCATTTTCTTAAAGAAATAATAAAAGAAAATTTTTTTGAAAAAGAGATGAAGAAAGCAGCATTACATTGGATGTTTGAGAAAAATAAGTCGTATAATCATTTATTGTGATAAAGAATTACTGGAATTAATCTGGAACGGTGAAAAGCAATTTATTTTAATATATCTACTCAATAAAACGTTTTGTTTTAAATATACACAATAAAGTGAATGCGATAGTATTACAAAATTTTACTTGCGATTAAATGTTTCTTTTGTATTTATCATCTATCATTTTTTACATACAACAAAAGTTTAAGATCTGCGTACTTTTTGTTTTCCAAGTACAAACAAACTAAAAAAAATATCATATATCAGAATATATGATTTTCTTTTAAACTGTGGAAGTAAATAGTACATTCCCTTTAAAATCATGGTCCATTATACAGCTGTCATACAAAAAAAAAGAAAGTGCGATGTCTAGTTTTTTAGTATGTTGGTAGAAGAAAAAATAGTTATAGAATGTGAAAAGAAAGAAAAAAATGAGATGGTATTTATTGTTCTGTCGCTGTGTTGCATTTCATTCAGAATTACATTTCTTTTTTTAACTAGCAGTCTTGCTAGTTATGACTTGGAGAAGAAATTGTGTAGCGTTTCTGTTTGTTCTTCTTGTACAATCAGTCGCTCAAGATATACGTTCACTTATGATGTCTAAAATAGTTGGTTGGCAATTTAATTGTGCTAGTACAACTTGTTTACCATTTTCTACTCTTACTGTGTCGGACATTTTCAAATGCGAACTAGCTTGTTTAGCTCAAATTCAATGTGAAGCAATTAGTTTTCATCAATCAACTACTAAGTGTGAATTATTTGCCAACATACCGAATCAAAATGGGAATATGTTGGCCAATATTGATGTTGTGACTATGATTGTTATAGATCAGACAAGGTTTCCAGCAGGTTGGTATAATCACAACACTATAATAAGGATATATTAGACAGTAAAAAATCCATTTTCTTCTCTCAACTGATCAAAAACTATTACGTTTCAATACTTAAATCAGATTGAAATTGAGAGTGTGGGTGTGTATGTGCATATGTATGTGGATAAAAAAAAGATTAATCTTCAACTTCATCTACCCACGATCATCCTATTAAACCTCAGTAGATCCCAATAGATCCTGGTAAACCTTCACAGATCTCAGTGGACCCTAATAAACCTTGGTAGATTTTAAATGGCTTATTGTAATTACATAGATTTATGTATTAAATATATGTAATAAAAAAATATATAGAAAATATGAAAATTTTGAATGATTTTTCAATTAATTTCAGTAATGAACCCCTAGTAAGAGATTATACTAATCATAAAACAACGAAATTTTTTACAGAGAATCACTAACTCAAACCGATTATTGGATCCATTCTATACATATGGATTTGAATAAACAAAGATTGCAGATCTGCTGTGATATACTAATATATACAGACTTAGCCGTAGAACTGACTTTGCTAAACTAAGCATAAGTTTTGAATTTCATTTTTTCTGATAGAGACACATACTACAGCAAGAATACTAAAGAATTAATAGTAGGACATAGTCAGAATATGGTGAAGAAGTGTGACGAGAGAAATGGCGATACTAATATTTTACTTCTTGTGAGCTGTAAGATGATCGCGTTCTCTCATAAATCGATTCGTCCATTTTTTTTCTGAAGAAACCCGGATAAAATACTTTATGAAACTTTCATCAAATCAAATTTTATATTTTTCATAACAGAACCGGTAGCATCATCATCTATATTATCATCAACATCAGCAATATTAACAACAAACGACGCAACATCACCATCCACCTCATTATTACCATCAACAAAAATCAACACCACGTTAGCATCAGCAACTATCAACACAACGTCAGTATCAACAACAATTAATACTACGTCAATGTCAACAACCATCAACACAACATCATTACCGACAACAGTTGGTGAGTGATTTACTATATAAGGTGTACTACCTTCTGCAGTTTCATAGGGAATAGCCAGTTCGAGGGATCAAATTTAAAATCTTTACTTTATATCGACCAAATGTTGTCAATCTAGGCAAAAAATCAACTTTAAGGAAGATTTCTTATCTGAAAACGAATTAAATGAGGATAATACAACTGTTTTTCCTAATAGTCTGTTACTACAATTTTGAATAGTACGATAAAAAAAACAAATATAGCTATAAGATGTACTGACCACTTTTATTCTCAGTTCATTTTCGCTTCTAACTCTTAGTATTCTCATTTCGTAAAATCAACAGCATCATAGCGTTCTTTTCGCCAAACGAATTTTCTACTTATGTTAGCGTGGTTTATGCTAGTAGAACTGAAGTATATATCAGCTCAGAACAGCTGAAATTGTCCAATAATAAGTAACACAATCTTGTCAGCTACCTTACCTTCGAGTGAGAAAAAGGTGTTAAAGATTGAATAAACATTGACAATCAGTATTGTCTAGGAACTAATATAGATGCGAAAACTTTTGTTTTTTACAGCTTGGAATGTTTGTCTTAATCTAACTACTTACGCAACTGGAACTTCTCCAATCGTAGCAGCAGTCGTCGATGTAAATAGTGACAACAACTCCGATATTATTGTTATAAGCTATGATTCAGACACTGTTGGTGTTCTTCTCAACAAAGGCAATGGTATCTTTCTGAATCCAACTACTTACTCAATTGGTGATGGTGCACAAGCACTCACAGTCGTCGACGTGAATAGCGACAATAAACCTGATATTATTGTTGCAAACGCTAATGATAACAATATCAGCGTTCTCCTCAACGCAAAGAATGGTACTTTTCAGAATCAAACTACTTACTCAGCTGATTCGTACCCAATTTCAATGGCAGTCGTCGATGTCAATAGTGACAATAAATCCGATATTATTGTTGCAAACTATGGTTCGGACGACGTTACTGTTCTTCTCAACGGAGGCAATGGTTCCTTTCAGAATCAGATTACTTACTCAGCTGGTAGTTCTCCACAGACAGTAGCAGTCATCGATGTCAATAGCGACAATAAACCCGATATTGTTGCTATAAACAGTGGTTCGAACAGTCTTAGTGTTCTCCTCAACG